ATACTAGTGTGGGACCTGGAAAGGTTTGTTACTGTTGTTATTTTTAAAGTTGGGAAAGTGTTGGCTGGGCTTGGTGGTGTAGGAGCCAAACTAGTTAACTCAAGTCACAAGTCAAACTACCTCTTTTTGCTGTTTATTCAGAACAATAGGCCGCTGCATACCAAGTACCTTATCATACCTAGGTGTTATAGCCCAAATCCTGACCCCCTCCCCTTTGTCCCACTAGCCCCCTTGTGCACTCAGCCCACATCCTGACCCCCTCCCCTTTTTGCACTCGCCACTCAACTCTGCACACACCCCACTTGCGACCTTTATCCCTTCCTTCTCATTTGCTCACCTGAGACAAAGAAGACTTGTCCCTGAGCCAATCAACCCTGAACACGACCACCCTGTACCTGTAAGTTTAGGACAGACATGGTTTACCTACCAATAAGGGGATGGGGTGGGATGGTCTAATGGGAGGGAAGAGGGAGAGGTATAAAGAGACTTTCTAAATAGTCTGGAAGGGCTGTTCCCGCTTTTTCTTAAAGGGCAGCCCAGGCTCTGAGCTTGAATGAATAAAATTCCTTGTGCCTTTGCAGTGATGTTCAGACTCTCAGAGTGGTGCTTGAATTGAGTCTGGGGGGTTAACAGTGGCTCACACCTGTAATCCTAGCACTCTGGGAGGCCAAGGCAGGTGGATCCTCTGAGTTCAGGAGTTTGAGACCAAACCCGTCTCTACTAAAAATAGAAAAACTAGCCAACTATAATGGCAGGAACTTATAGTCCTAGCTACTGGGGAGACTGAGGCCTGAGGATCTTTTGAGTCCAAGAGTGTGAAGTTGCTGTGAACTGTGATGCCATGGCACTCTACCCAGGGTAACCGAGTGAGACTCTGTCTCAAAAAAAAAATGTTAAAGTGTTGGGATGGTAGGAAGCAAATAGTAGAGAGGGGAAGCTGATCACATAGCACAGATGTAGTTGATAAGGAGAAGAAGAGCTTTGAAAAGTTAGGAAGGGAGAAGATTTAAAAAATATTTAATAATCACCTACTATGTACCAGGCACTATTTACTGGAGAATACAGCATTGAACAGAGCAGACAAAAGTCTCTGCCCTCAAAGAGCATACTTTCTAGTCTAGAAACAGAAAACAAAAAGGTACGTTATATGACATTTAGTATAATTTAATCTAGTGGGTTTTTAAAATCTATTTAAAAATATGTGTGTTTCTATGTATACAGTGTATATATACACACACATACACATATAGTGTACATATTTTCTGAGACATACTGTCCAGGCTGGGCGTCAGGCTAGCTCACAGCAACTTCAGACTCGAGGTTCAAGTGATCCTCCTGTTAGGAACTCCGTGCTAAGAACCAAGGACAAAGATCAAGTATATTTCTGTTTATGCCACACTGGCAATTATCTCAAATTTCTGGGAACCTTTAGAGAATTCTCAAACTGTGTGTCCAGCTTCAACATTGAACCCAACTCTGGTCCTCTGAGGCCAAGTATTCCAGGAGATCCTTAGATCCTGTTTTATAGGCCTAAGCACCCTGTAATAGTTAGGGTACAATTCAGGCTTTTGTAACAAGGGACCCCCAAATACACTTCTTTAAAGCAAGACACAGGTTTAGTATTCATTTACCTAAAAATCCAGGCAGGTGGTCCAGAGCTGGTTTGGTAGCTGAGTATTTTGGAGAATCAAGCTCTGTGTATCCTGCTGCTCACTTTCCTCAGCACTCCGTGTGCATCTTGTTGGCTCTTTCAGCTGCTGTCATCACACTTTCATTCCAGGTAGAGGGAGGGTAGGAAAGAGGAAGCTGGAAGGATTTGTGCCCCTTTTCTTTAATGGGGTGTAAGAGAACCACAGGTGTTTTCACTCACATCCTGTTGGTTAGAACCTGGTCACACTGCTGTACCTGACCACACAAGAGGCCAGGGAATGAAGTATGTAATTGGGCAGCCCTGCCATCGGCTAAGACTTCTGTTCCGAGAGGAGGACTAGATAATAGAAGACAGCCCTGCCTTATCCCTACCGTTCACGCCATATGGGACATTTGAGGACTCTTTTCCTCCCTCTTTTGGGAAAAATGTGGAACTAACATTGTGACTGTTAATTCTGTTTGCTAAAGTAAGTAATTTTCATGTTATTGTTACAAAGAAGACATGATATTCAGTGAAACAAATGAAATGTTGGCAAAGTACCTTTGAGAAATCCTGTTCTAAAAGATGTTTCAGGGCTCGGCGCCTGTGGCTCAAGCTGCTAAGGTGCCAGCCACATACACCTGAGCTGGTGGGTTCGAATCCAGCCCAGGCCTGCTAAACAACAATGATGGTTACAACCAAAAAACAGCTGGGCGTTGTGGCAGGCACCTGTAGTCCCAGCTACTTTGGAGGCAGAGGCAGGAGAATCGATTGAGCCCAGGAGTTGGAGGTTGCTGTGAGCTGTGATGCCACCAGGGTGACAACTTGAGGCTCTGTCTCAAAAAGAAAAAAATAAAATAAAATAAAATAAAAAATGTTCTAGGTTGGGTGGCGCCTATGGTATAGTGGAGGTGGCAGGTTCATATCCAGCCCTGGCCAAAAAAAAAAAAAAAAAAATTTTTTTTTTTTTTTTGTTGCTCCTTTTTTTTTTTTTTTTTTTTTTGAGACAGAGTCTCACTTTGTCACTCTCGTAGAGTGTTATGGCGTTATAGCTCACAGCAACCTCAAACTCTTGGGCTTGAGATATCCTCTTGCCTCAGCTGGGACTGCAGGCCCCTGCCACAATGCTTGGCTAGTTTTAAAGATGGAGTAGGGGTCACACTCTTGCTCAGGCTGGTCTTGAACTCCTGAGCTCAAGCAGTCCACCTGCCTTGGCCTCTAAGAGTGCTAGGATTACTGATCTGAGCCACTGCGCCCTGCCTATTCTTGCTTCTAAAGAACAGGGAGTTATCTGCTCATTAAACCTGCCCCAGATAATGAAAAGAGAATTATGATTGCACCTCACCATAGAATCAGAACAGCACCCTGCTTTGAATCAGACACTGTTCTTGTGTCTTGGCTCTGTATTCAAACCCCTAAAGGTTATAGAAAAAGGACAAAAAAAATTGTAAGTAGAGGGCTGAAATTAATGTAGCAGGGGCTGGATGTAGTATTGTTTGGGGGTAGAGAATGAAGGAGCAGTAGAAAACCCTTGGGACTAATCTCTAAGTCTCTGCCTTGTTGCTTAAGAACGAGAATTAGCGGGTTCTGGGCAGAAGCATTTGAAGACAGCTGCTTTGAAGTGTTACGTGTGTACTGAAAGTCAACCATGGGAAGCAGGCTCTTCATAGCCTATTTTCTTTGGTGATAAGTGAATCTTTGGATCTCTCTTTAACTTTCTCTATTAGGGGCCTAAATTCTAGTTCTGCAGCAGACCAGTAAATTCACAGTATTTATTTTCCCTTAAAGAGTCTATTCAATAAGGAAACCAACCAGAGTAATAAAAAATTTTGAATGTACTTTGCATAGGTCTTCAGGGTGTTTTCCAAGGCATACCTGAGGCATGACTTTGCTGGCTGGGGAGAATCTTAGAATCTTCCTGTTCGGCTCGGCGCCTATAGCTCAACGGGCTAAGGCGCCAGCCACATACACCTAAGGTGGCGGGTTCGAATCCCCAGCCCGGACCCGCCAAAACAACAATGACGGCTACAACCAAAAAATAGCCAGGCGTTGTGGCGGGCGCCTGTGGTCCCAGCTACTTGGGAGG